TTATATTCTCTGTGCACCTCCCCTCTCCCCATTAAAACATGGTTTTTAGTCAGCTTGGTCTCAGACCCACAGACAAATATCAAATGACAGGAGATCTGTTCCAGAGGAAACAAAACAAAATGAGGGGTCCACACACATTACTGGCCCCAGCCTTTCACCTGGAGGCACCCAGAATGAGACACCAACTCTCAAGCCAGGAGGAAATAAGGAGGGTAAAGAATATCTGAATGGCAGAATCAATAACCAGTGTAGCAGAACCCAGCCCAGTTCACTCCACAGTGAGGAGCAGCTGCTCTGTGAGACACCAGACTCAGCTTTAACATTTCCTGAGATACTGTGGAGAGGCCTGCTCAGATTCATACAGATGGGACAGAGGCATCAGGCAGACAACAGATTCTGCAGACAACAATTTCCCAGAGCTGGCTGAATAAATGCAAGATGGGCTAAATACCTCAAGAATCAAAGTCTGCCCTGTCCCCTTTTGTCAAGGCCATTGTCACCGAGGCCTTGCTGGGCACATGTACAGTTCTGCTTCTGAAGCCCAAAGCATGTTAGAAGGCACTTAAAGTCTTAACCTTCTTGGTCTCATTACACCAAGGTGGTGTTTCAGCTGCATCTCTTCTAGGAATCTTGTGTAAAGCACTTGGCCTGTTGCATGGACTGACCTGACTCTTTAGATACACAGAAAAAGAGCTTCATCTTGTGCCATCCATTTGCTTCTACAAAGAACTTCACCAGTCCCAAATACTGTCCCAGCCTGCTTCCATCAGCAACCAGAAAAATAACTTGGAGCCTAAGTCACCACGTGAAAAAAGGTGTTTTGTTGTGGTTGTGATCAGCACCTTGTGTGTGGCAAACACACCTTTATATAGCTTTTCTCTGGTTGTGGATTGTCTTAGCTTGAGGAGACACTCTCTAGACTAATTTTATATCTAATTTACTTGGCTATATTTTATTCCTCTTTCTAAAAATGATCCTGCCTCTACTACAGTAAGAGAACTCTCTGATACCTTTGCATGGCTGTGGGGTACCACTGAGGTCAGTGACAAAATCACTCCTGTGCTCTCAGTGCTCTAGGGAGGGCTATTACTGTGAAGTCCACACTGTGCCCCTGCAGAGAGGATGCCACTTCCAGGGATGGCTGACTCTGGAGCAGTGTCTGTGTAGGGATTCAGCATGGCATCCCACAGCGCCTCCACAAGGTGTCCCGGGAAGCCACAAGAAGAGCAACGCCGACCTCAAAGACGTGAAAAAGCAAAGACAAGGCATCCTAGAAAATGCCTTATCCATATGGATAAGGAGAAACTAACACTTTAATTCCATTATTTCCTATTGGAAATGCCTGGGTGTAACACTGTTTTGCTGTTGGCCACAATTTTTGGTCCTACCTCCTCTTTTTTCCCTTCAAAAGTACTGAACAAGCAAATGAGAGGAAAAATAGCAGCTGGACTGAGCGGGTGAATTTTTTTGCATGCATATGTGTGTGTTAGCTAAGGATGAAAGAGATGTGGAAGTTGTTTTCTAAGCAGATTTCTTTTTCTATTGCCTATGAAAGTAACACAATTAGTGTTTCTAGCTCCTGAGAAGATTGTAAATAATGTGCAGATATAGGAAACACAGACAATGGTAGGCAAAAGCTACTTCCAGCTCCCACCACAGGGCAAACCAAGGTAAAATCCCATTACCAAGCTCTTGCAAAATTACTTCAAGGTGTAGGGTCTTGGCTGACTGTTTAGCTGGTGGAACTGAACTAGCTCCAAATCTTATAACAGATGAGGCTTTAACTCAGAAGCTTCAGGATTATAAATGCTTTACAAGTGATAAAAATCCCAAGGCTGAAGATTTTGTTGCCTTGCCCTGATCTTCTACAGTTGAGATCATCACCTGAATGTATGAATTCTAAACACATCAGTCAAGGCTTGAAGGATTGCTCCAATTCCTTCCTATTGACTGTGTATCTGAAACAGATATCTTTAGTGTGTATGCAAATTTGCTAAAATATACTGAATAAAGGCAGATTTCAAAGAAATGAAGCCCTACTACTTTAAGAGTCTCTCCAATTTGTTCTTAAATACTGTATTGTTTTAAAACAATATAGTTTTAGTGATTCAATTAGTCTCTGCAAACACTAAAGGCAGCCTCATGAGGCAAATTAGACAGGGTTTTTATAGCAGAATTAATATGGCAAATCCTCATATCCTGTGGAGTTTTATGTGCTTGTAAAAGTAGAAAAAAATTACAAAAGGTAAACTCTGGAGTATATAGTGGAATTACTATAATCTGCTCCAGAATCTCACAGGGTCTGGAATTGCTATGGTATATTGAAAGTACTTACTAATTCACTGCAGTTCAGGAAAGCTTTCTGACCAAACCCAAGCTCAATCTCATGAAAAATCAACAGGAGTAAAGCACGTGCTAAAATTTCAGCACATCTTTAAGTTCTTTCCTGAATCAGGGCTGTCCTTATATTTAAATAACTAAGGTCTGATGCCTGTGCACTGTTTCTCTTTGTATTCAAATCTATGTTAGGGATCCTACAAAGCCGAAGATAACTAGTTTTGAATGTATGTAACATTCCACATGCATTTCTGTACAAGAACTCATGCAATATTGGCATTAATACAGACTTAACTCTATGCTACAGCTGAAATGCTCACTGACTTCTACTGCCCAGGCATTTCTACCTAGAAAATTGCTTATTAAAACTTGGGAGTTTGACCTCATACCCTGTTTTCTTTGTGGTTTCTGCTGGTTTGAATGGCTATTTTTCCCACTGAACAATTATTTTTTTTATTCTTTTAGGCCTTTTCAAGGTCCCCCTAATTCCCTGAAGGAATTTCTAGGCTCAGCCCCATCACAGGATGATCCTCATGCACAAAAAAACCTCCACTCCCGAGGGAGAAGTTGCAGGATCAGGCTTTAGAGGTGTCACTAGGTGCAGCTCAGGAAGAAGGCCTCAGTGATTCCTTAGCATGCTCCACCAGGAAAAGCATCCTCAAATAACCAAACACTACTTGTGGCAGGAAGGAAAGGAACCACTTCTCAACACCTGCTTCAACAACCAGCCATCCATCCAAAGGATCATTCATGCCTCAGGATCCTGCTTTATCTTACACAAACTGCACTCATGGACACTGGATGAAAGCACATCTCAGACTCCCTTCCCACTCCTCACCACCAGCTCCAGCAGTTCAGGCTGCTAAAAGCAGTTCAGGATAGCAAAGATTTAGGTTTCCTGGTGGATCTACAGTGAGTGTCCTGTACTGAACATCAAAAGGACCTAGATGTGATTTTTTTCATGGCTGGTCTCTTGGTTTAGCTGAGGAAAGGTGGCAGGACATGCTGACCCTGACTATGACAGGAATGGTCTGTGTCACTGTGTGTGAACAGCACCTTTGACTGGAGTCCAATCCATGGCTACTAATCAGGGTCCCTGGAAAGGCAGACTCAGGGAGGGACTCTGAGATTTCCACCAACAGAACAGAGGAGAGGGTAAAAGCATATCAAATTATCTGTCCCCCTAAAGCTTTTCCTAACACAAAAGCTCTGATGAATAATACTGTTAGTGTAACCACGGCCTTTGACATCCTAATGCTTAAAAAGTCCTATTTGCTCATGGCCAGTGTCTACAGTAGCACTCACAGGATTAAACAGCCAAAAATTAGCACCCATGACCAAATCTGCACCCAGAATACTTCAGCACCTTCCGTTAGAGGATCTGAAAGCATTTTACAAATGTTAACCAACATTTGGCCTCACAACCCCCAGTGAGGTAGAACAGTGCTGTCCCTGCAGGGACAGACAGACAGATTGAGGCACAGGGTTACTAAGAGACCTGCTCCCATTCAGACACTAAATTGAGCAATGCCAAGGGCTGAAAGGTGTCCTGACTACTGCACCTATGCTTTGTCCACACTACCATCCTTCTACACGAGCCCTTAGCCTTTGAACTAACCCCAGGATTCTATTTACAATAGGTAAAATGATCAATTAGCAGTTGTGCAGTCAGAGAGTTATTAAATTAAATGAAGTTATTAGTGAGAACAAATGATTTCTGGTGCAAAACTCTGGGTGTAAATGATCATGCACTAAGACTACTGGGTGCAAATTTGGTGCATGATAACTCTGACCCCTTGATAATTCCCAGTCCTGACCTCTCTCTGATAAATCTCTTTTTTAAGTTGCATTCTATGTAAGATCACATGAACCTCTAAAGATGCAGCCTGCACAGATTGTTTCATACCTGCAATGCAAGCAAACAAAACGTGGAGTGGCTTTGGGAACAACCCAGCATCCATGTAGCATCAAACATCACAACAGTATAATTCATTTTAATCACAAGGGGTTGCAAGGCAATAGAAACAGGTGTCTATGTCGAAAAAAAAAAGGCAAATAGAGCAACAAAGAAAGATTTGATTGCACAGATTTCATTTCAATAAAGTTCTGCAATAATCAGTTTCATCAAAGCTTATTCCATGAGGAAGGGAGGCAATGCCAGCTGGCCTATGACAAAGCTTCAGTGTAGTAAAAACCGCCAGCCCTGTGTGAAGAGATGAACTTTGCATTCTGTAGGAGTCACTACTGATTAATAAAAGCAAAAGGTTTCTCTAAATACAGCAAGTTTGTTTTTATCAGATAGAAGAGTTTCTTAAAATATGGGGAGGTTAACACCACAAAATTCAATTTTTTATATAAGTAGAGAATCTGGCCATAGTTAGGAATACTGAAGTGTAAAAAAACCAAATATGTAGTCTTAAACATTACAAAAACTATCAAAACATTCAATATTTTGAATTGACCTTTTGTTTTCCCCTACATGTGTCTGTTTTGGCAGTGATGACAAGATTTCTAAACTGAGTTGCTGTTATTATTTTTCTGCAGTTGTGGTTGGTTTTTTTGTACTTTTTTTTTCTGAGCGTGTTTTTTAAACAAAGGAAAATTACCAGCTTTTATAAAAAAGAAGGAGCTTGAATCCTTACTCCCAAAACACAGATACAAGGTTTTCCTTTATAAAAAGTGTATTGATTTTTTGCTATAAAAAGTGACCATAGGGTGTCAAACCTGAAAACAAATTCTCACAGTGTTTTCAGTGTTGGCTGTTCACAAGGCATTACTGTTACAAACAGAGATAGAGAGATACCATAGGGGAGGTATAAATATTTCTTACCAGCTAGCAGTACCCTTGGGTTGTTTGTGGAAGGTGTTCCACTCCAGAGAACTGATTTATGGGTTTTTGCTTAATTTTTTTTAAATCCCAATATTTGAATAATTTGAATTATTGTACTAACCTTACTTAGCATCTTACACAGCCATTCCTAATCTCAGCCAAGCTTCTGCTGGCATATTAAGCATCAAACTAGTAAGTCATTTCCCTTCCTGCCCTCCAGAAATAAAACCAATACTGGTTAGTATGTGGGTGCTAAATTTGGGCTGTAAATGAGGAACAGGCGAGCTGGCAAATGCTGGCAGTTTGGACAGGTGGAGAACATCATTTGCTCTACTTGAGCTTGCAAACTGGTCAGCAAGGGATCCATTTGCACACTTCCAGGGGAGCTACTTTACTATCACTAGGAAAATTACATAGCTGCAGCAGAAAAAGAAATAATAGAAGAAGGTGGGAAATGCACAGAAATGCCCCAAATTTTTCACAATGTCCATTTTGCATCCCTGTAACTCAGACGAATGGTATCCCTCTATCTCTATAGACTGGCAGGTGTTGATTTGTGGCACAGAGGATAAATCACAGGAAAAAAAAAAGACATATAACTGTGTGTCCTTTGATTTGAAAGCACCAGTCACCTATCTGCTTATTTTGGCAGAAGTGCTTTGCTGTATCTCAGACAATGCTCGCAATATGGACATTTAGCTCCGTGTCGCTTCTACATGGAATCTCCAAGGGAATCAGAGTCATCCAAAGACAGAGGCAGATACAAGTCCTGTAGGGAGAAAGAAGAAAATGTTAACTCTCACAATGAGTTTCCACCTTTGGCCATGCATAAGGAAGCAGCTGAGTGGCCCAGCTCTGTGCAGTTCATAGGGACAGGGTGGAAGACTCGTGCACTGGTTACTGGACTGGGCTGACCAGGCTAAAATCAAGACATGATGCTCACACAGTGGAACAAGAGCATCTTTTGGTGCCAGAAGAAAGATGTCTGTTCAGGGATAAGTTTGAGAAGTGATGTTTTTTTTGTTTCTGGATCAGTGTGTCCATTTTAACACATACATGGAAGAGCAGGACCTTGCCTTAAACAGGTCTCTTTGAACCTAAGTCCACAATAAAGAGCCTTACCTTAATTTGAAAGTTACCTTCAGGACAAATCTCTAGGGAAAGCACATTCCATGATTTATTCCTTATTTTAGGTCATTTCTGATCAACAAGAAAGGTTAAGAAAACAATCCCAAGGTTATTATTTGGATCAGATGCTGAATGTAAAGCTTTTCCAGGGTCCCTTTCTTGGGTAACCATCTTATTCCGCTTCCTCAAAGTTCTGCATGGAATTAGGAACACAAACCAGCTCAAGGACTAACGCTCTCCTGGGACCTGTTTGGACTCTGACCCACACACAGGTAATAACTGTGAGCAAAATGAAATAAACCCCAAATACTCAGGAAGGAAATTCACAGAAATCTTGATGTAAGAAGAGGTGAAATAGGAATTTGTGGTGTGCTCAACTTAAGCATTTACCATTTGAGCTTTAAGGGGAAAAAAAAGAAGTGATTTCATCATAAGCAGGAAATTGCTCCTGGGAGAAAGACAATGATGCGTGAATATTCTGATAACCTAAAATGCTGCATTTGTGTTTGCTGATTGGCTTAACTTAGTGGAGAAAATCATACTGAATTGGCTTTGCCCCCAGCAGTCACCCTCTATCACAAATGTTCTCGGGGCTTCATCGGAAAAGGTCACAAACCAGCCAGCTGAAAGCACACATAATACATTAAAAAGGTAAGTTTTACTGGTCTTTGCCAGGAAGCAAATCCTCATCTCCACAGTTCTAAATGGGATAGTGTTTGGAAAGCATTTTAGGTCCTTGCTGCTGAAACAGAGGATGCAGTTTACAGCATTACTCCTGCTGAATATACACAAGCAATTGTTGAATTCAGACCATGGGCCAGATTCTGTTCTCAGTTGTAAATTAACAATAAATCTGGACACATTTTGTTAAAATTGGTTCATTTCCTCAAACCTAGACTGAGCAGCTGAGATCAGAGTGAAGTCCTGAGGAAAACAGATTTCATTTGAATTCAGCTACCCCTTTGTTAACCAAAATGAGCCCAGCCTGGGCAATTTAGCCCCCAGTAGATTCCACGTGGCCGCTGACTGCAAAACCTCAGCACTACCAGAATTTTTAAATTACTCTTTCAGAATTTCAAGTCAATATTTTCAAAGTCACTCTCAGGATGACAGGTGCATTCTGATTACTAAAGAGAAATCTCCTTGACCTCCTCTCACACCCACATTTATGTCCAAGTTCCTATCAAGTGAAGGCTGGTGGAAGCAGCACTATGGCTTTTCAGGAATGCAAAGACCCACAAAAATGAAAGTCTGGACTCAGCACAGAATGACACCAAACAACAGGAACTGGAAAAGCTGTGGCAGCTGCTGTACCTTTTAAATAAATCAATACATGAATTATCTATGAGCCAGCACAGGATTACAGGTCTTTACTAGGATGCTGTGCTACCTGTTAGACATGCTGTTTGTGACCAGGAAAACCAGCTACTGTTCCAGATCACAATTACCACACCAGCTGTAAAAAATCAGCTGGTTCCTGTAAAACAGAGCATGCTCTTAAATAATTAAAAAAAATAAATTCTTGAGGAGCATCATTAAAGTGATGTCTTAGAGCTTCAGTAACATTTGCATTGCTTCTGCTGTTTAATGGACCGGATTTGCCAACAACTGAGGCTTTCCAAGAGAGGAGGATTTATATGAAACCATATCCATCAATAACTTTTTTGAATAGTGATACAAGCTCAGGGTTAAGTTCTCTCTTCTGATCCATCTGGATGCTCTCCAGCACATGTTAATAACTCCAGTAGAGGAAACAGGCCAATGATTTGTTGCTCACCGTCCTGCAGAGTCTGAAGTGACAACCCTTTCAGGTAAAGGGACAAACTCCACTGTTTCAACATAAGGAGTTGTGCTTCCAGAGAATATGGCCATGGCTTAAATGTCACAAAAGTCTGAGTGAACTGAGGCAGAAACAGATGTAGTAAGGTATAAGAAACGTAATACCTTGTGCTTACGGAGGCTCCCTGGGCTGGTGGGTGTGGAGATCGGGGACTGCTTGGATTTGGGTGTGGACAGCTGACTGCTTGAGGTCCCGTTTGCTGGCAGAAAACAAGACAGAAGCTAGAAATCAGACAGGCAAGGGGAAGATCTTTCTCCTTTGGGGAGATGGAAGGTCTCCAAACATTTAACACAGAAACACTACAGTTTATTCATGTCAGGCAGGAGAAAAAATCCAAACAAATACCACGGCTATTAATCTAACTCAAGGCTTTCAGCTACTCAGGGTAATTGACTGCAAAATACAGTGGAATAGAAAATAAATAGAAGGAGCAGTATTTTACACAGCAAACATCCACCAAATTGATCCAAGATACACATCATCACAAAAACAGAAAGACAATGTCTATGTTCTCAAACAGTTTAAGGGCGTGTGGAAACCAGAGGCTGAAGATATCCTGAATCCTAGACAAGAAATGTTAGATGATTACAAATTGGACAAACAGCAGCCTGAAATGCCTTGGATGTAGTAGCTGTGGGTGGGATTAAATGACCAAAGAGCCCTTCTGAAGCCTTGGTGGAAGCACAGGGTAACATGACACATCTCTGCTCTTCCTCTGCTGCCTGCGCCAGAGAAGTGGACATGGTCTATCAGGGGAGGAACAGGAGAATTACATCAAGAAACAATCCTTTGCAAAGACCTTTGCAAAGATCAAAATCTGGTCTTTTGGGTTGATTTGTTTGTTCATGTTGCTTTGAAAAAAAATAGTTATTATTAATTTAAAAAAAAATGTTATTCATTTAAACCAAATAGCTTTTGAAATGACTCTTCCAGGCTTTCACAGCCCTGAGTTTTACTCAAAAGTGAAGGGCATGGGTCTATGTCAGGGCAAGCTGTTATGCATTTATTGGACTAAAAAGGAATCAAAGTAAATAGCAAATTATGCAGAAAAAAATTAAGGGAAACCAAATGGAATAAGGATAAATCAATTTTTTTCCTACCGCTGATGTTCACTGGGGTAAGCAAATGTCTTTGATAATTGCCAGGTGTCACAATACCTGTTACCTAAGGACATGCTTACACATAGTGAATTTGGTCATTCACAGGTCAGGTATCAACTCCAGGGATACAGATCCTCTTGTTACCAGGGGTTTAAACACAAAGCTCCATCAGCACAAGCAGCCTTACTCGAGGGAATTCAGATTCATGCTGGCTGTGTCCAAGGATATTGTCCTTTCTGGCCTTTTCTTTTCTGCAATCCAAGCAGCAGCAGGCTGGAGGCCTTATTAGCATTAAACTACATATCCCAATCAAGTCTATAGAAAGTGGCATTTCCAAAACCTACTCCAGATGTTTATGTATTCAGCACAAGCCACAAAACCAAACCTCAAATATTTTGATTGTCATTTCCTTGAATGGCTGTAGTGCTGCCGGCCCTCCAGATAAATATACAAATCCCTGCCCTTAAGAAAGGAATTTTGAGTTGTGCTGATGTTTCACACAGAAAGCGAGCACGTAATACTCCAGGCTGGGCTGTCCTGCTCTCAAAGTGCCCAGTATCTCTCTATATCACTTCTCTGACTGTAAAGGCATGCACAGAGGAGGGTGGATGATTTCAGCACACGGGACTTATGTTTTCAATTGTAATAGCTGAATCTGCAAATGGGGTACTTAAAAATAAGCAAATACAGCACGTACTTGAGTGTCTGGAGGAGACTGAAGAAGTGTATAAAGTATCATACAGTAAGATTATATATGGGTGTCGTACTTTTAAGAGCAAAATCAGCACAACTCTTGCTTTAATGCCTAAGACAGCCTCATTCCTCTTCTCTGTTACCTTCTTGTGAGAAAGAGGGGGGAGGTAGCTCAGGTTTGTAGCATCACTGACCCAAATGCAGACGTCATACAAGTGAGTTCAAATAAGTGTAGAGAAACATGTAAGCCTCAGGACAAAGGAGGAGCTGCCAGCACAGGACAGCAGCTCAGACTCAATTCACGGGTCCTCTGTCTTCATTTCTATGCATTCCCTCCTCTATTGGGAAGAGGAGGCTATTCATCACAGACAGTTTTTTTTCCCATTGCAAATGCACGTCACTGAGGAAATGTCTTGATTTCTTGAAAGGTGGTAGAAATAATGGTTTATGGATAATTGGGGAAGAGAGTGACCCTTCACCTCCCCATTCCACTCAGACCATTCTTGATTGGTCGGGGGAAAAAACTAGTTATGGAAACCCAGAGACTGTTACACGCCGGTCCCTGCACTGTGCTGTGACACTTCACTGTGCTCCAGTTCCACAAAGTGAGCTGCCCTCGAGGCTGATGGGGAAAAATGTAGAGTTCTCTAACTATATGACATATAATGAAGGCAATTCAGTAAAAAAGAACTTGGATCTCTTTTATGTTTTATTTCACCAAGTGACTTTGTGTTTCCTATTAAAGAAAATGTGGGATAGAATAGTTACTAATATAATCTGTATTAGCTAGAATCCTTCTCCCATGCCTAAAAAGCCTCTTTATTTATTTTCAGTTGCCACTGATCTTCCTAAGATGAAAAATGCCACCTAACAACTCTACAAAGAACCAAAATTTCCCTTCCCCAAAGAGGAAGACTGGAAGAACAGCAAACAGTCAGTGTGCAGCAAATGGATGTAATTGCTGCAGGGAAGGATAGAAATTCCCTAATACAATGAGACTTTTAAGTGCTACAGCAGGGATATTAATATTTTATGAGCATCAACAAAAAAACAGATGTGACATCCAAATCAGAAATAGAACGAGATGGATGGATATCATTACAAATACAGTACAATTTTGCAGCAGGAGCAACAATTAAGAAGCCCAGTTTAATTTTCTCTATGTCTGCTAATGAAGAATAGTGTTCATAAGCAAACTTGCCTGCATTTCTTTTGAACCGAAATGCAAAAAAATATCAAGAGGCAAAGAGCAGATCCCAGGTGGTGTATAATGCTGCTGCTCCACTAAAATCTGTTGATGACTTAGGATAGCTCAGGATCTCACCCACACTCAGCTAATGGGAACTATTCTTTATAACCAGTTTTTATTTGAATTCTTTGGGGGTTTTTTCCCACCATTTTATTGTTTGTGTCTTATGTCTTATTTATGTCGTTGTATTTGCTTTGCAAGCCCAATCTACCTTAAAGGCCCTTTGTGCATATAACACATCCTTTAATTGCATGCACAAGTGCACTACATTGTTTTCATAGGCTCCTTATCTCCTCCAGTGCACAAGGCAATTTGTACTTGAGAGAAATCAGGCTTGCCCAGCACATGAGAGGGACGAGGGAGAATAATCATGTCATGTTTGAGATGGCTATGAAAGATCCAGATAAGCTGAATTCTCTGTCTCCTTCTCCCACAGATGTTTTAGGATCACAGAATCACAGAATCTCATCCCACCCCCTTCCATGGGCAGGAACACCTTCCACTATTCAGGGTTGCTCCAAGCCCCATCCAACCTGGCCTTGAACACTTCCAGGGATGGGGCAGCCACAGCTTCTCTGGGCAACCTGTGCCAGGGCCTCACCACCCTAATTTCTTCCTAATATCTAAAACTACCCTCCTTCAGCTCAAACCCATTCCCTCTTGTCCTATCACTCCATGGTCTTGTCAAAAGTCCCTCTTCAGCCTTCTGGTAGGATTTAGCCAAAATTCCCACATGCAATTGTTCCATGACTGTTGCTCAGGCTTGCCTGGATGACTGGGACTCCAGACCTGAATTTCCAGTGATGATGAGCACCAAGACCCGTAAATGACGTTAGTGAGGTCCATCTTTTGAACTCCCCTTTCTATCAACATACAGAACTGGAAAAAGCAGGGCCCAGGGATCACAGTGAGTGCTCAAAAGGTGTGGAGATATCTATTTCTAGCAATTTGTAAAATAAGGTTAATGCTCCTTGCTTGACTGGGGTTCCCAGGATTCAGATGAGTTCCTAGTTGGAGGAGCACATGCTCATATACCACAAGAGTGAGAGAAAGAACCACGAAATACATGGATAGGTTTGCCCCCAGGTCAGGGTTTGAAGTGTCATCAAGAAATTAAAGAGAGGGAACAAGCAGTACAAGGGCAGCATAAAGCAAATGTAGAAATAGCAGCTCGTTTAGTGAGCACAAGCCCTCCTGCACTCCAGGACAGAGGAGCCATGGGAAAAATAAAGGCTCCATTGTACTGTTTGTTCAGGAGTGGAAGAATTCAGATTGCACAGGCATCCCTCTCTCAGGCACCTCCAAACTTCCAACCCCTCAGCTCTGCAGTGCTGGTATCCTCCTCTTACCAGGTTTTGTGAGGGGATCTTTCCCTGGATGTTCACTGTCTACTGTCAGTGAGCAGAACATACATAGCACAAGCGAGAGAACAAGCTGCTGTCTCTCATGTGCAATCCCAAAGACATCTGCTGCCTTTTTAACACATTCATATATAATGACCCCGGGGAGCCAGCTCTGCAGTCAGGACAGACTGACATTCTGTGTCTGTTTTGCTAATTGCTGCTGCCTTGTGACTATGCTTTTGTCCCTCTATCCAAGCCTTCCCATTAGAGGACTGAGAAATTAAGGTCCTGCAGCAGTGCCTCAGAGGCCTGTTCATATTCTCCCTGAGCCAAATCAAGGCAAAACTGGGCAAAGACATTTTCAAATTTCAGCTCAGGTACCTGTGGCTCTCTCCTGCAAAGGACTGGTTTTAAAAATCATTAACTCTCCTATCACAACACATGTTATAAAACTGAACCCTTGTTTGGTATGTGAGTTACTGTAAGACACGTTTTTATAACAAAGAAGTAATGGCAAATGACATCATTAGTTTCTCCCCTGTATTTCTCCCCAGAGCTTCAGCTCTGTCTTTTCCTTGGTTTGACTCCTTATTGGAGCAGTCTGTTAAAGAAATTTTGCCAAGCCTCATGCTGATCCTATTCCATTTAAGTCTCATGGACCATAGTAGCAGCACAGAGACTTCCCTCCTTATGCACAGTTTTCCTCTGTTATCTTAGGAGAGGGATGGATTTCACTGCTCTAAGCTTTGTCATCTAGCAAAGCTGACTCCATAGAAAGAAAAATCGAGGCTAGAAATACCACAGAAGCTTTGTAACTCCAATTTTGTGCTCTGAACTGGGATCAAATGTATTTGGGCCATCCCTGGTAGAGATCTTATTTTTTAACTGCATGAAGTCTGACAGGGATTCACAGGCTCCCTGAGAGACCTGATGCAGTAACTAAGTTGTTTATAATTGAAAAGTATTCCTAATATCTGATCTGTATATCTCTTATTAAACCAATGTCCTGTCCTATCCCTGACTGGTACACAGGAAAATTGATCCTTATCCTCTTTTCAATACTTTAAATGAATTCAAAGAGTGTTAAACTGTCCCTTCTCAATTTTCCTTTACTCTAACCTGGATCAGTCCATTTCCTTCAACTTTTGCTCCTAAAGCAGTTTCTAGAGAAAATTTCTCCTGGATTTTCTCTAGTTTGCCTGTATCTTTCTTGCATGTTCAGTTTGTACTGAAACACAACAACCTAAGCTCACCTAAGGCCAGTCAGAGACACCAATCCCTTCCAAATCTCAATTCACACCTGATATATGAGAAACTAGGTTCAGCTTTCTTAGGTAACATTTGGGAGACAGAGAAAGGCACTTGGATACATTGTTGGAGGGAGAGAAGTAAAATCCTGATGTATTTTGCTAAATGCATTTTGCTGGAAGCAACATGATGTGAGAGATGGGTGGAGGATATAGATGAAAGGCTACATCACAGCTCCAGTAACAAAGAGGCTGGAAAGTAGAGGATAATATATTGGAAGCCCAGTGGAACTGCTGGCAAAGCAGCCAGGGCCTTCCAGTTAAACTGAACCAAGAGGTGAAAACAGTCCCCTGATGAAACAGAGTCTGGAGGAATAGCTGGGTCAAACCAGAGAAGGTATATATATATATATATATATATACACATATATATATATGAGTTGGGGGTTAATGAGGGAAGAAAGAACGGATTCCCCTTGGGAATATAAGGACTGGGGTCTGTTGCCATCTGCTTATAGCAAGACATTTCTTCGTTCTTCATTCATTCTTTTAATTTTCATTCATTTGTTCAATTTTCATTTGTTCGTTCCTTTAAATGACTGTGCGGTAAATGAAGGGGAAGGTACCACACCACAAAAACAGTGTTTAACAAGTTCCTGTGGATTAGCTACCTCACTTTTTGAATATCTTTGGAGCTGAAGAGCTCTGGCTGCCTAGGGGGAACTGAGATTTTCACAGTGAGGCCATGACACATCGAGGCAGGAGGCAAATTCCCTCTGGTAGAAGGGACCAATTCAGCCAGTGAACATGGATCTCTGCAGCTGGGAGCTCGCACTCTCTCTGCTGTTGTACTTCTGTCCTTTTGTCCTGATGCTTTTTTACAAAATATTGTGTTTGTGTGTTCTCTGTTACTCCAAATTAATCCATGTTATTTTGGAATGGGACCTGACCACTTACATAGTTTGCTACCAGGACTGCTGCAACAAGACAGCCAAAGAATTTATCACAGTTCATATAAACCTGAATTAAGCCTCAGCTGCCTCTGTAGGCAATGCATGCAACCACTGTCCACATGGAACTCCACTGCATTCTCATTCTGCTGATAAATAATGTACCATTTCCCATATGCTTTAGTGGGGGAATGGAATAATTAGGATGAGAAATGGAAGAAAATAACATCCTTTTCTGTAACTGCAGTGTGTTTGTAATGAGGAGGGTTCAGAACTCTTTCACTGAAGCAGCATGGAGATTTACCCCTGAATCTGCATTGATATCTGTGCCCAGATATGTCACAATGGCCTTAGAGACTTTGGTGGGAAAAAAGGGTACAGAAACCTGCTTAGAGAAGAACTGCAGAGAACAGGAACTAACAACACAGAACCAAGGAAACTAAAGGTTCTGATATGACAATGTATCTGATATCACCACAGCAGAGTGAAAGACAGCAAAGATAAAAGGTATGAATGGGTAGGAGAGCAAACACATAGCAAAAAAAAATAATATGTTTGAAGTAAAACTATTTTTAAACAGTTTCACAAATTAAATGGGTTAGTATTCTGTGGGGGAAAAAAATGTCAAATAGTCTTTTATTAATCAGGCTTCAGTCAGCATTCCTTGCCTTTTTAATGTGATAACTTCAAAATCCACCTAAATGTAAATATTGATTCTTAAAAGATTTGTAAATCCACTTAATTATTACAAATTCAAGACAAGAATACAAGACTGTATTCTTTTTTCTCTCTGTCCCGAGTAAACAAGTCTTCCATCTTCCAGTGCTGAAGGAGTTCAGTCTTTTTCATTTTTATTAAACAGGACAGGCTGCCATTTCTTCCTGTATTGAAATTACAGGAAAGTACGAAAGAGCCTTGTCTGGATGGATTAAAGAAACCTGATTTGTCCTTCATTACTGGCCTTAACTCCAGGAACTGGCTATTGTTCAGCATTTCTGGTTATTTTAATCTCCCTCTGAAAAGCTCCGCTGACTGTGTTCATTAAACCTCATCAGATGACTCACCATTCTGTTCCTGTAAGTCACTCAATCAGTTAAAATCAGGAACACAGTGGTTGCCATTTCACAATGCTCATGCAATAAAGTCTTGTTCTGATGGTAATTAGTACCTGATGCTTATGGAGAAGGTTTGAATGCTGTTTCACAACTCATGCATGAGCTGACTCCCAGATCAATGAATGTTAGTTTGGGAGTTTTTAAATCAACAACACAATTTCCATCATGCCTTCAACGTACCCAGACAACTTTACAAGGCATTTGGGATTATAAAAGCTTTTTAGATTATAGCAAGCCTTAGTTTATGAACAACCTACAGTGGCATATTGAAGAAAAACTTTATGAATGTAAAATCCCCTTACAGAGAAATACCTTTTTTAAAATTACAGAGTCTTAGCATGTGCCAACCAATTTCACACTGTTCCTTTAAGTAGCTAAAGAAGCAACCAAGAGACCCTAAAAAATCAAACTGCTTCCTGGGGAAAATCCTTCTGATTACTGTCAAGAGAATTTTATATCCAATAATCCAGTGTCTACTGATAGTCAGCTGTTGTGTGGTGTTCCCATGCAATATGTTGTGTGTTAGCATGAGGGTGAAAAGTAATTTCTCTTTTATATCACCTGTGTTAACACTGTGGGTCACTTGAATTCAAGATATGAAGCTCTCCTGGAATCCTGGTGTCCTTTTTTTGTGCTTTGGCCATTTTAGTGAAAGGCCATGTCTGGTTCTCTTTTGGAACAGAACAGGCAAGCAGATGACACACTAGAGATTCATCGTGACTCTAGGAACTTTCCATGACTCTAAAAACTATCAGTTACTATAATTACTACAACGTGCAGCCCAACCTTCAATTGCTGGGCTCTGCAGCTCTCCAGGTGTGCCACACCACCAGTCCAGGGGCTACTGAAGGAGGAGGGAGTGGTGCAAGCTGCAGCAGCAAATTCCCATTTTTCCTTCTCTTTTATTACTGAGTGACTGTCTCAGGATCACATCAATAAACCCATCACCAGTTCTCCAGTTGCAGGATCACTGGTCTTCTTTAAATAATGATTAGAAAGAGCCACTTCTGACCTGTACAATAATTACCACTAGCTATGCACAGAAGGTTATTCTAAATCAGTCTGTATCTATAGAGGATATTTGGAAGCACTGTGGGCCTTGATTTCCTGCCTGTGAAGCGGAAACTTCTTCTAAAATATTGCTAGGGAAGGAGGCTGTGAGACTGTGGGTGGTACAACCTCAAGCCACAACTGCACTTAACCAACCAGAGAATTCCTTTCCAACATTTATTAAGTGCCCCCGTAGCACCAGCTTCTTGTTTTCAAAAGAATACCAGGGTTTCCTCTGCAAACGCACACAGTACGTGCCTTTCCCTTGAGCACAGTCAATATTCAGACACCAAGAAACAATCACTCACCATCTTGATGGTTACCTGAATCGGCTGGAGACTTGCTGCGGCGCATGGGCGCTGGGCTCTTGGCCGAGCTCTTCTGAGGGGTGGGAGAGGACTTACTGCCCGTGGCAGCTGCAGGGCTCCCCTTCATCACCCGGCACTCTGGGGGAACACACAGCAACCGTGGTTATGTCCCTGCTGCCCTCGCTGCCCGTGGACAGCGGGTATGAAACACCCCCGGGCAGCTCAGTGCTTTGTCTCCGAAGAGCAAATATCGAGGGCAAGGGGGAAAAGCTGGCATCAGCACATTTTCTCTAGAGCAGAAAGGAGACTTTTCAAGGGGAGGGAAAAGAGAACGGCTCAGCTCCTCTAGAGGAGGTGCTGAGACAGTGTAGGTGCCAGGCTGGGTCTAGCAGGGCTTGTCTCCCTACCTGTGTCCTAGCAAACATTTTCTGCCCTTGCCCTTGCCATGGTTCTCACTGACTAGTGAGCACAACGAGTCAACACTGAGCGATGAATCAGGCCAAAAAATCCAGTTAATTTGTTGAAACCCTTCCATGAAAATTTAGTAGGAGGAGTGGTGACTGCAACTTATGCAGGTGCAGAAAGCCAGGAAACAGCTCATGGCATGGTGTAAATTCTCTAAGTGGTAGACTGGACATCTGCCCCAGGAGACTTTCACCCAGCCTGAATCAGCCTCTTCTGTCTCAACAAGTTGCAGCTTTTCAGATGCAGAAAGGAAAGAAGACAAAATGGTTCTACAAAACACATCCTCTGTCCTGGCCAGTCATCCCTTTCAGAAAGGTTTGTATAAACAAGCCCGGCAGATTTATGCACTTGAAGACATGAGCAGATGAGAACCCCAACTGTGTTTTCTTGAAAAATAAATATGCCAGGAAGAGGGATAAATGTAAACATGATCTGCAGGGTCCTGCAGAAAGGAACTGAAATGCTAACAAACCCCTGTGTGTCCCAGGACTTCAGGCATGCCAGATCTTCAAAACCAGGGTTTATTTACACTGAGAGCTAACAGAAGAAGAACTTTCCACCCCTCAAGTTATTAACTTAACCCAGTTAAGAAGAAGACAATACAAAGGGAATTTCCTTTTTGTCAGATGTTAACGGATCTCACCTCATCTCCTACAACAGCTTGTCCTCACCAAGATGTGAAAAAGTGCATTTTTTACAGATGTGAATTACATGTTCCTCATACAGACAGTTTCTAACAGAAAAGTTCAGCTCAGCTCTGCACGTGTGGCCTGCACTGAGGACCCTCTTGACTGGATTCCCCAATGGGAATCAACTAAGGCAGCACATACCAGATAAATAACTGGTCAACTGAAAACAAGCTGTCTGACCTAAATGTATGCGTTATTTAATTATATATCAGTACATCTATGAAAATGTAGTTGCCTTAAATTTTTCCCCAGGCTTTCCTCATTCTCAGACACTCGAGAGTCCGTCTCTTCTCCTTCCAGATGGTTTGCAAGAGTTTGCTCTTGGGTCATGCAGTACAAGAATATGAGGAGAGGATGCCTTGTGCTCCAGGGATACTGCATGGCAATAATTAAACCTACAATTAGTTTATTTTCTCCCCTGATAAAAGATTTTGGAAATTGTAAATCGGGGATAGAAAAATTTGTGTGTGTGTGTTGTTTTGGTTTTTTTCCAAAAGTACTTGACTTCTCACACATGATGTCATAGAAAGGCTTGTAGAGGTCCAGCACTAATATAGCCCAATTTTTTTATACATGAAGAGCAGTATTGATGCTGGGGGATGGGGAGATGCATGGAAGGTAGACTATCTCTCCTTGATCCTAAAGAATATAGTGTTTCATGAGACACTGTGAAACAGCCAGCCACTGTGTTAACCAGCTGAGACAAAACACAAGGAAAAATCCTCTTCAGTCACTGCAGAAGTTATATTTTTCAAGGCTCTTGGATATTGACAAAATACATTGCAACATTTGGATCTTGGAGCACAACTCACTTGCCTGGCCATAGGCACTGAATCTGTCAATCCTACATCACATGGGTATCCCAGAAACCAAGGGGGACTCAAAGGATGTCAGGCAGCTGTGTTCAGTCACCTGAGTGACTCACTAAAAAAATATACATAAAAAGTAAAAATGCTTCATATTACGTCCTTGTGAGAGCTTCCAAATTTATTTTTTTCCCAGGGGAGTAATTCCTTGAAAAGAAACCCAGCTTTGCATTTTCTAGCACAAAAAGGCTGACTCTGAGGAATTCCTCCAGCTCAGCCCTTGGCAAGTGTCAGTACACCAAAAGCAACCACTGAGCATTTGCACATCTGGAAAAAAGGTTCTGAAGGTGGAGACCTGACTGTGCTGAAGTTGCTGTAAACAGGCCTCCAAATATTGCCAGGGTGTGACATTTCCATGGGCTGATCTTGAAACCAGTGGGTACAAGTTGGACAGAGCAATGTCATCTGGAGGGTGCTCAGCAGCAGGGATTAGAGGGTGGAATCTGTGGTGGGCAGTCAAGAGGAAAAAGATGACATAATCCTCTCTTATGCTATTTCTCATTTTGTTTCCTGATGTCCTGCCAGAGTGAACATAATAACCAGCAACCCTGGTGCGTGTCATCCAAACAGGCAAGAAAAAGTTCCCCATGACAGAGGAGATTTTAGTAAGTGACAGTCATCTGCAAAACCTCAGGATTTGCAGTTCTCCTGGCAGCATCTGACTCATAACAAGGAAGGATGATGGATGTATAACGGGAAAACGCTGCTGGCCAACAGCTCCTCATCTGCTCCCCTCAGAATTCCTCTGGGAGCTGCAGGTACTTGGTGCCTTCCCAACAGCAGGCTTGGCTTATTTATGTGAGAGAAATCCAAGATGGAAAAGTGAGTAGTAACCAGGAGTGTAGGCAGAGAGCTGGGCTTCCCATCAAGTTGTTCTGCTAGGATTGCATCCAAACTGTTTTACAGCGTGGAACTCCCGCTGGAGCTGACTCAACTGCTGAGTGTTAAAAAAAATATGAAGCTCAGGTTACAGATTGCTTCCCCAGCCTGACACAGGCTTTATTCTCTGCCTACAAAGTCTCAGCTGAACCTTGGAAAACTTTCTCTTAATTACCCAAGACCATCAAAATAGGTTCATCTGGAGTACACAGGTCAGAAGCACCAGCGTTAAATAAAATCAGGCTTGCAAAGGAATCATAAAAACATAATGTTTGGAGATTAGAGGCTGCTTGACTTTCTGGCATACAGCAAAAGTTCTCTTTGGTCCTCAATACCAAGCCAGTTTGTAGCAGATTGGACAGAATGGGACTCGTGTTCCTTATACAGGATACCTAGAGCTTTGGGAAATGAACCTAAATGCTTGGAGGACACATTTTAGAGTTTAAATGGTCAAAATTACATTAATTTCCTCTTATTGAACTCACTGGCACCTGCAGGCAGCGTGTGCTCTTGGTGGATAGAGTTGCCAGGTGGGGTGGGTGGTAAGTCCTACAGGCAAGCTCTGTATATTCTGTGAAATTAAAGATTTCATGGCTTAATTGATCATAGAGACTCACATTATTACAGACCTCTGCTTGCACTTGTAACAGAGACAAATAATGGTGGTGTCACAGTTGTGTCCCCCTCCAAAAGGGAATTATTGCCCTGCTTTTTGAATCAGCAGAAGAAAGCAGTGGAAGTGTGATTATTTTTTTTTAACTGCCGCTTTTCCCCATTTTTTTAATATTTACTTGTCTACATAAGGAGGTTTAGTTCTCAGGAAAAATGTATCTCTCCAACTGTAACTGGAGAAAATCAAAAGGATACACTTGCAGTAAATGTCAAATGGAGTAGGACTTAATTTATCCTGACTTGGGCTACCTCAGCCAGTATTTGCCTGATTATAATATCTGCTGACTGGATAAGTATCACAAAAGAATGTTAAATTCCATGTACTGGGTCTTAAAAACCAGAACAGAAGCATGCAGCATTATTATCTGATACAAGCAACTGAATGGAAATCAAATAAAACCACGGCGTGCGTTTGATGTTACCGCTTTCATCCAGAGAAAAGTCATCCTGTGCATAGCGGAATTTTTCTGGACCACAGGCGATAAACACATCATCATCCCCAAAGAAATCATGGAGACAGGTCACCTACAGAGAGAGCAAAGTCATTCATTTTATTTTTAATTGGCAACATTCTGATGTGGCTCAGTTTTAATTTAAACAGAACGGAGCTGCCTCTCTGCTCTTCCCCCCACCCCACGCTGATTTGGTCCTACTCTCCATAAGGCTGGTGCCCATCTGGGCAAGTCAAGTGTAACAGTGTAATTAAAAAAAAAAGAGAGAGAAAAAAACTCCAACAACTATCTTGCACATTCTATGGGGAGTGGCATTTCCCATCCATTCAGGAGCTGACAGAATACACTGATCACCCTAATGAATGACACAGCTACTTCTAAAATAAGAAGCAGAGGTTCCCTCCCTGCCACATCCGTAGGCAAGGCTATGACACCACTGCTCATGCTGGGGAGCATCTTAGTACCAACAGAGCCTAAAAACTCAAAGAACCCCTAAGAAGGCAAAAAGCTACTGGGCACAGCACAAGTGCAGAGATGTGACTCCTCCTAAGTGATCCTGATGATAAATTTTAGAGTTAAAAGGTTTATCTGTGCTATTGATGGAGGGACCCAAAGTTTGACTAGGCATCTTTCCCACACAACCACCATTTAAATGCATGGATTTACTCCAGATGTTGTGCCATCTTCTCCCTGCTTTGGCCACCTAGACATGGGATGCTAAAGTACCGTCCCTCACTGCAGAGCTGCTCATCCCACAGAAGGTCGAGATGTAGGGAAGGTGGTCATTGGGTGGGAAAGGCACAAAGAACCAGGGAGGGGAGGCTGCAGCAGCTGCAAGTGTGGGAGCTTTGCCCTTGAACAGCTCAGTGGGAAAAGGAAAAGCAGTAGCTTTCAGCCACCTAAAACTACAACTCCTCTCTGGGGACACCACAGGAGCAGGATGTAGAAAACTCTTCGAGGTAAACAGAAGACACAGTCACACCAGTCAGGGGCTCTGAGTGCCTTGATCTCCTTTTTTACCATCCTAAATACAAGGAAATTATATCTTGCGGACCTGAAGCTCCAGTGACTTGCCGTGCAGCATCAAACAGAAGCAAAGCACAAGATGTGGGAGCTTCAGATCCACTGATTTAATCAGAGAACTGATATTTGGGAGTTCAGGAATCTGAAAATGCAGGCAGGTTGTGGGAAGCATTCCAGCAGGAGAAAAGTGTAAGATGCCATCATGCTGGGAGCTAATCCCCACATTCAGCTGGGAGAGACCTGCAGTTCTCTCTACTGCTCTACAGGTGATGGACTTGTTTTAGCAATATTTAATGATATCCTGACATCCCAGCCATATACTGACCAAGTATCGTGTCAGGAGGAGCAAAAATGTTCATCTGCAAACACGCCAGAGTGGAACATCTCCAGCATCAGCCAGTCTGGTACGACACACCAGCCACACATCTGAACACCTGGCAGAGACTAAGGTGGTTATTTTAAGTTCTATTTCTTCAGGAAACCATTTCAAAGGACCACAAGATTGGCATTGACATTTAAAATGGAGGTATGAGGGTGAGAGCTGATGCTGATGGCCAGTGTTTTGCCATGTCTGGGGTCTCTACAGAGGGTGGATGCACTGCAAGGGACTGGAGAGAGCACTGGAGATAACTGGGGAAACTTACTGCAGGCAGAGCTGAATTTCTATATCTACTGATCTCTTCGAGCTGGACTGTGAAAAGTTAATTTCAAGCTCTAATAAATCAACTATAAAGAAGGCTTTTGGCTATCTTAATAAGGCTCAGTATTTCACACTGGTTAATGTAATGTATAATTAAAGCACTGCCTACGAGTGCCAGCACTGGTTACAATGCCAAATATTAGTGAAAAGCTTGCTTTTCACATCGCCATGACTTTCAAAATGGAGCAAGCTGAAATCTGCTATGGCTTTGATCAAAGTTAGAATTTTCTTTGCTAACTTCAGTGAATTCCTATTTCTGTTTGCCTCAAATTAGATTGGAAATAGTTAATAATAAATCTATAGAGAATTCTCCCAAAGAAAAGATGACATTTTAAACCAGCACTTGGTATTACAGTCCTCCCCCCGAGGATGGTGGCACTAATTCATTTGCAAATAATTGGGTTTGGCTCAATACACAAGTTCCCATCTGAATGCTAAGCACTGTAGTTATGCCACAGAAAAGACTGGTGGGTTCCTAAGCTCAACCCTCAGTACAGAAACCACTGCTCAGTTAAACATAGTGCAAAGCTGAATCACAACATAAGGATTCAAAAATTTTCCAACCTTTTACATGAAATGAGAAAGAAGCCACAGGTACTTTGCTTTTTTTTGCCTCCAGGTCCTAAGTTGAAGTGTGTATTTTGTCCTTGCCTCCCCACAACCACCACAAGCAAAAAGAAAGTCCAGGCCATCACAAAAACCTTCAGATCAAGGCTCCAAACATAATGGAAAACTCCCAACATGCACAAGGACAGAAAACTGATTGCATATCAAGCAGAGATACTTGCAATTAATTTTGCTGCTGTTCTTTCAGGTAGCAGGTGTGTTTTATAGTCATCAACAGCTGGTTGGATGAGCACTGGAGGCTGGTAATGAGTGAGATAATCTACTTGTTGAGCTCCTAATACTCAGGAAACAATAACTTCTGTATTTACTTTATTTGTTCCCCTTTTCTTTCCTGCTGTAACTTCCACTATTAAGAACTCACCACAACATAGTACAAAAGACAGCCAAAACCCGACCTCACTTTCCTTAAATAGTGCAAAACACTGCAAAATTCAGAAATAACTGCACATATTATGCTGTGTCGCATATGTTCACCACGTGTGTGGTATTTTCTATTTACCTTTTGTTTATTAAATCCCAATCCTTGATCATCGCTGTACGTCCCTGAAACACGTCCCATATGGACTGGTGTCCACAGGAAGTTGCTGGAGTAAACTTTCTTTGTGAAAACATGTGACTTAACTGCTGGATCTGACAGCACCAGAGCCAGACCCTCTAAGGGGTGCACAGGAAACGAAAACCACCAGGAGAAGGGGCCTAGATGAGCTCATCCCTGAAGGTCATAGAGTCAAGAACAGGGCCCATGGGCTGCTCTGCTGGGATAACAGGTTTGAGACCTTATTAGCCAGTATGGAATATTTAAGGGTTGTTCTTGACGAGCAAGGCCAAATCTCTACCTGCATTAATTTTTGTAGAGGTTTTTAAGTGACTCCTGAAGGACATTATAAGTCTTCTCTCCATTCGTCAGAAGTCTTTTTCCTCATGTTTTCTGTTTATTATTCATAAATAAATAAAAATAGTACAAGTCTTCCCCCAGGCAGTGTGGACTTTTTGAAAGCCTATATTCTGCTTTAGCTTACTCTAATCTACTATCCTAATTATATCAAATAATTCACCTGGAACACCATGAAAACCCTGAAAGAAAGTTCACATCAATAAAAGATTTACCCCAGATGGTGACCTGAAAATCATTGTTTTAAAATGCTGCATTTTACTTTTAGCTATAAATTTATTAAAGCGCAAGACAAAACCTGATAGTAGCTAGTGCAAGGACCAGTTCTATTACCTGAAAATGGTGAATTTTCTGATGACTGTTATCATTCACTCTTAGCAATGACACCAGAAATCAGCAAAACAGGAAGATTTTTTTTCTTTTTCTATTTTCAAGTCCACAAGCTTTTTTTTATTTATAACCAAAAATAAACTTGTGTATAACACTACAGTAGACAAAATAAATAGCATTGATTTTCAAGCAGGCCTTTGTTTAAAGGAGGATAATATTTAATTTGAAACTCAGGATTCAAAGGACAATATTGATTTAGAAAGGATCATCCTGCATGAAATGTTTGCTCTCCAATTCCTGTAGCTTAAGCAATACCAATGAAGAAAATTATTTCTTCACACTCCAGTCGATGAGGCACAAATTTATTTCTTACTAAGCCATTATTTCTAATAGAGTTGATGATAACATTTTTCTTTGTGCCAAGGTTTGATCTTTTTACTAAACTTTATCATATATATCACAGAATAAATAGAAGTTGGTAGAGATTAACAGAGATTTGAGGGAGTACCAAACTCTTTGCAATTCCTTAGGTTTTCATTAAGCGTGGTTTCTTTCCTTGTTAAATAAAATCCTTCTTTGCTTATATTAGAAAAACCTTCCCTGAGAGGACAATATAGCTCAGATTTCCAAGAGGGGATTTCTGCAGTGACAGTCCATTACTGTCTGCTGCAGCAATTTTAATTGCAGAAAGGAAAGTACAGCCTTGTGAGAGCTGCTGAGCCGCCTTCTTCATTTTAATACAGCACTTGTAGAACTAAGCATTTTTCAGGATTTTGACAAAATGGAGTTCGCCTCACACATGTCTCTGGATGTCAGCTGGCAGTGTGCTGAAATATCTGTGATATTCTGAGTTCACCTGGAAGAGGAGCAGTAACACACGGGATCTACACCAGCACAGCTTTGAGCAACTGGCTGTTTCCACCATCCTCCAGGAGGCAGCAGCCGTACTTAGAAACTGTAATTTGTTAATAAATAAAATAATTAAAATAATTAGAAATAAAAAACCTGAAGACTTAGGCCTTTGTCTAAATCACCCACCAGTGCAGAACCTCCTGTGCTTTGAATGCGTGTTTGGATTACCAAGTTCCTTTTGTTCCCTTTCACCACCCGCAGAAGGGCATCCCCAAGAGGGTGAATTGAACTGCCTTCTTCACCTTTCAGACAAATGTCTTCATCAGTTCAGAAAATATATCCTGGTTTTAGCTCTCTCCCTTAGTCCTAATGACTTTGGGAACCGTTCTCTCTGAAATATCTCTCCTCTTTAAGAATTTAGACAGCACAACTGGAAGTGATACCGACAGCATTATAGTCCCTAAGTTTCTGCAAATGTAAATGGTTATGGTCAAAGAAAACAGATGTCCATTTCCATCCTTTAAATCATCATACTTCTTCAGCTTATAGGCTTCCAGAGGTCAGAACAGTGGGAAAACTCTCTTCAGAAGTAGCTTTGAAAAAGACCATAGAAGACAATTTATATGCCATACACATATAAAGCCTGTAG